GTACGTACGTACGTACGTACTACGTACGTACGTACGTACGTACGTACGTACGTACGTACGTACGTACGTACGTACGACGTACGAGAGAGAGAGAGAGAGAGAGAGAGAGAGAGAGAGAGAGAGAGAGGTTATAAGAGGAATGTTTGAAAAGAGCGCCTAATTAAACCATTAGAAAAAATGTTGCACAATTCGGGGACTCATACCAAGATGTTTGCTGGAGGGCTAGCAATGCAACACAAAGAGATACCATGCGGCATTACTTTTTACAGTTTGGAGAGCTACAAGAGGTTGCTGTTATCACTGATAAAAACACAGATTTTTTCCACATTGATTTGCCCAGAAAGATGAAAGAGAATGTGTGAAGAGAGAGAGAGATGGGGGAGCAAAAGAACGTAGAGAGAGATATGGGGGAGCACAAGACGCTAGAGAGAGAGATGGGGGAGCACGACGTTAGAGAGAGGGTGGGTGGTTGTCAATGCAAAGACGTGAGATCGTGGATGGAGTGGAGTAATAAAAAATCTCAATATTTCCCTTTTTTTATTTCTAATGTAATTTATCAGTAATGATCCGACTCTCCGACACTTATATATGTAAGACCCCAAAAGATCACCATTAAATTTGGCATAGATCTTTAAAAAGATCAAGTCTCACACCTATGTGATAACTTTTTTAGATATCTGTGCCAAGTTTAGTGGTGATCCTTTGGAGTCATATACACTTTATGGTCCGATACACATGAGTGTGTGTAAAATCCCAAAAGATCACCATTAAATTTAGTACCGATCTCTAAAAAAAGTCAAGTCCTACCTCCATGTGATACTTTTCTACATATCTATACCAAATTTAATAGTGATCCTTTAAAGTCCTACATACATGGGTTTGGGAGGGTCTCATAGGATCATTACTCTTTAATTTGAGCCAATAGTAAAAAATATTCTTTTAGTTGAGCTTTAGCATTGCAATGAACAAGGGACAAGCGTTTCTAACTTTAACCCATATTATTTGAGGGTTTTTAACTTGAATAAGGGAAGGTACAAGGACCATCACAAGGGATTATAACTTTAACCCATATTATTTGGGGGTTGTTAACTTTAGAAATTCCCAGATAGGGATATATATTACCGTGTTATTGCAATATCATGAAACTATGAAAACCATGTTTGTGCATTTGTATGACTTTAAATTTTGCTCACAAACACTCTTCTGCCCAATAATCAAATCTCAAAAAATAAAATTCAAATTTTCAAACTAGATATGGTCAAAATGAGTGCTATCCAAGAATCTCGATCATCTATTTGATGAGTTTCAAGAACTAGGCATTTATGAATTCAAAATCAAAATTTTTATGTTTTAACATTATTAATCAAATGATAAAAAAGCTATCTATAAAATTTGAAAATGAAAAAATTCCTTTTAGGCCCTATAGGCGTTGCGTAGTGTTTTCCATATATATATATATATATTGTTCACGATACAAATCAGGACGATCTCAAGATGAGATTCGACCAGATCAAAACCAGAAATTGATTTTTTAAGAGTGATAGAGAGTGTGACAATCAAATTCTAATATGAAGTCAGATCTACTCAGAAATCAGTAGATGTGCTCTCAAATCAGTGGCAGAGCCAGCATTGATCCGAGATACGAAATGTTACACAAAATACAAAAAAACTAATTTAATTATAATAAAATAAATAAATAAAATAAAAATGCAAGAAAGAGTAAAACACACCAGATCTGATCAGTTTGCTCTAAACTCTCGAGGATTCGAGGCCTCTCCCGTATCAGAACCGACTAAGTTTATGTCATATGTCCTCTTTGTCTCTCTTCGAGTTTTGATCAAGCCTTGACTTGGTTGGATGTCCCTCTTAACCTAAGGGCTGCAAGTTTTATGGCCTAAAGCTAAGGTTTTCCTAGATCTAGGGTTTTCTCAGGTTCTTTTCTCGTATCTCCGAGTCTTAGGTTTTCTGGGCATTTAGGTTTTAAGAGTCTAAGGAGTCTAAAAATATAACAGGGTCTCAAGATTCTAACCTAAAATGGGTCCTGAAATCATCCTTTTAAAGGTAAAAAATGATTGGAATGGGTAATAACCCGTAACAAAGGGATTTCCCAACCTGGATTGCCATTTTGGTAGTCAAAGGCTTGGCAACACTACCGGTGTGGCCCAGAACAAAATGGTCTAGGTTCAATAAACCTGGCAAAAAATGATCTTGGAGATGAGTTGGGTCAAAGATATGTGATTTTGGACAGTTTTGGTTGGACGACACTAGGTGTGTCGCCAAAACCAAATCTACCCAGAATCGACTAATTCCGATTCCGAGGTGCTCCAAAGGCTTTTGAGATGTCACCTGCCAAAAATCATGTGATTCTGGATAGTCTGGTCCGGGACTGACTTTTTCCTCGCGCACACCGCTAGATAAAATCCTCTCTCAAAATCCGCAGAGGGTCAACGCGCATTGCATGTTTATGAGTGTGCACACACGTGCTCTCCTAAGCACGGATAGGAACCAACGAAAAGAGAGAGTTTACGAAGATGGTGCGTTTAGGCGCTTGCCTCGTCATTTGGGGTTCGGGGACACACCCGGGCAATTCACCCTCTTAGAACAGTTACGAAGTTCTCCAGTTGTCTGCCAGCACGGTTTGGACGAGAACTCTCATCAGACTTTAACATGTCACTCCGTTCTCTTACGTTGGAAACTGCAATGCGGATTCGTCGGTACTCCTCTATAAAGACTCGCTCAAACGAGGGGCTGGCTGGCAAAAGATATAATGAGGGGAGAAATAGTGACAAGAATCCCCCTATCTGTGCAAACACTATGTGCTTAGGCGATCAGAGTAGCTAAAGAATTAGAACCCTCTTGACTATTGACTCAGGAAGACTCTACCCGAGTGAGTGAGTGAGGGAGGGAACATATGTGTTCCCCGTGAATCAACTCGACTGTACGGAGAAGATGTTAGAGTGATGGTCTAAGGGTTGGAACTCTTGGGCTGACTCTGAAGGGTATTGAGTCGAGCATATGTCAGATAGCAGGATGTTGTGCGGAGCCACATGTTAACTGTGTTTATGCTCAAATCGCGAAGGGGAAAGTCGCAAAGGGAGATGGGACCATAGGTTCTATGACTTCAAGTCCTTCAGCGCATCGAGAATGAGGGGAAGAAAGGGAAAGAGATGGGACCGTGCGCTTGTTGCGGGTCTAGATTGTTGCGTGGGGTAAGCAACAAGTGGAAAGAGAGAATGGGAGAAAGAGGAGGGGGAATGGGCTTGAGGCGTGGCCCTAAGAGAAGAAGAGAGAGAATGAGACTGCACGCTCAAGACGGGTCAGGGGTATTTTCTCTCTCGTCGCCGCTGGACCCAAGGGTTAGAAGCAAAAGACAAGTGAATACAAGCTTAATGTCTCTATTTTGTTAATGAATGATCCGGCCCTTTTACAGATGGCCTAGGCTTGTTTATATAATGGACCCACTGAACAAGGTTGGATACTCAAAACTAAGCCAAATCATAATTTAAAAAAATTATAATAAAATCCCGAATTTAAGAAAAATGATAAAAATACCCCTTAAAACTTTTGCGTTAATGACAAAACCACCCCTCTCCGAGGGACCTTTTGCCATTGCCAGATCTTGGAAGCTTTTTCGGATGTTTGTGGCAGTGGTTCAGACGATCTATCATCGTAGTCTTGATGTTTGCTTGATTCTGAAGAGTTTGATGTCGTTTGATCGTTATGAGATGGACTTTTCCCGAGTGGTAAAAATTCGATTAGAACGTGAATTTTAGCCGTCAACGCAATGTGATCCATGGTGCTCTGAGTCTTAATTTTGATTGCAAATTAAAGAGGAGACTACCATAGTCGTTTTGCACCAAAATTTGTCTGTTTTGGTTCTTGTTTGAAGTTCTTTCTTAATTCGAGAGATCGTTGGAAAAAGGGATTCCGACGACCGGGCAATCTTACTTTCTTCAACCATAGAATTTGCGATTATCCGACCTTAGATTGAGTGTAAAAGATATACCAGCTTGTAGCCCTTCGTGATACGGTCTCATTGGAATTGACTTTGCAATGATCCAATGTGCGGATATCAAGTTATCACTTCACAAAGTTCGAGATGCCTTTCTTTTAAGATCTGATTTCTGTGGTCTCGGGCTCATATTCTCTCTAAAAAAGCTTTGATTCTGGGTCATGTCACGATGCGTGCCATATGTTAAAATGACCGGGTCGTCGAGACCTAGCTTGTGTTCGAATTTGAACTTGTTCATACTCCAAACGAATAATTTGTGGGCATTTGTAGATCATCATGAGATGTGAAGAGCACAACCTCCATGAATGAGGACTGGTTCAGTGAAGCCACACCACAATAGCTTGCAACCTACCCGTTTGAGGTACTTTGGACCCACAATGTTCCTGAGATGTTGAGCCCAAATTTGGTCCTTAAGGGGTTTTCGACGTTCTGGATGCAATGGAAGTGGTAAGGTATTGTTTTGAAGTCCCTAGCGTAAGGATGTAGTTGTAAGGTCTCTTTTTTGCATGATAGTACTTTTTTCAAGGTTGCCTAGTGAAACTTATTTTGTTGTTTTCCTTGGTCTGGCGATGCCTTGCGTACTGCCAGGGCCAGGTCGTCACTGGTTGTCTCCTTATTTTCACTAGGGGTGTAAGTATGTCAAAAAATGACGTACAACAGTGTCGCCGAACAAAATCTGCCCAGAATAAGTAGTTTTTTATTTTAGGGTGATCCAAAGGTTTTTGAGATATCACATGCTAAAAATCACGCGATTATGCACAGTTTTGGTTTGGTGACACTAAATGTGTCGCCCAAACCAAATCTGCCTAGAATTGGCCGATTCCTGTCAGGGGTGATTTTCAGGATCTTGGGATGCTCAACTGTTAATACCCCATTTTGTGAACTGGCAAATTCAATGGTTTTTTAAACCATAGACAACCCTAGAACTACATTATCTCAGTAAACCCCCAGACCATAGACCACCATAGTCCATACTACCTATCATGTTGTCCAGAATCTTGCAAAACACCCTGCTTTAGTAAAAAAATAATTAAAAATAGCAAAATCCTCATTATAATGAAAATTTTGGCAAGCATCATTACAGGAGCCCGTAGACCGTTTGGGCATTGGAATCTACCAATTTGAGCAACTTTGGTCTAGGAGGCACCACTAGTGTCTGCCAGGCTAGAGTAGCAAAAATTGGGTGATTTTTGGCAGTCAACATCCCAAGAGCCTGAAAATCACCCCAGATAAGAATCCGCCAATTCTAGGCAGATTTGGTATGGGCGACCACCTTGTGTCGCCCAGCCAAAACTGTTCAGAATCACATGATTTTTGGCAAGTGATATCTCAAAAGTCCTTTGATCACCTTGGAATCAGAAACTGTCCATATTAGGTAGATTTGGTCTGGGACACACCTAG